AACGTGCAAAGGCTTATTTGCTAAGAACAATACATTTGATCAGTTTGAACATTAAATATATTGTCTTTGTAGTTTATTCAATTAAATATAGGTTGAACATATTTAGCAAGTCATTGTGTTTTTACTTTTGTTCAGCACAACATCCCAACTTCACTGGATTTTGTTTGGAGAATATAAAGAATTTAACAGTTACGCGTTGTGATTAATTCATGATGATTGCTTTTGGCTCGGCCGTTAGGGGGCAGTAAAATATAAAAAATCACGCAGACACAAATGAATAAGCGCCTCGCGACTACTGTTAAGCGACTTAGTTGCTGAAATCATTTTTAAAATTCATTTTTTTAAACAATATATGCCTATGAGTATTGTTGTATTGACCTACACGTATCGCTTTATGTTCAAATATCCATTGCGGCCCATTTTAAATCAGTGTATTAGCACCAAAATGCCAACAGATGGCGCCAAAGCAATTCATATCTGCAAACCCCCCACAACTAAGCGGTGGTTGACGGTATTATACAATTATTGAATAATTGTATTTGAATAAGTAATTATTGAATAATTATTATTCAAATACCCCAATGTATGGTGCCAGGCCGAGCAGAGGAAGCTGGAGGAAGATAAGCAGAAAAAGCAGGAGAACGATTTGGCGTTCAAGGCCTGGCTGCTGAGAAAAAGAGAGCAGCTGCAGCAGGAGAGGAGAATCCACAGAGCTCAGGAGATGGAGAGGATGAATTTGCAGGTAATCACCACAGAGGGGAAACCGAAAGCTATCCAGAACACGACACTACGCTTCAAAACACTCCTTTGTAATGCCGCATCGAGAGCAAAGTAAAACAGTAAATAATCAGTAATAAAACCAAATCAAATGTGGATGAGAAAATCACCCCTCAAAAGTTTGTAACAATTGTGTTTTTAAAAGTGTGTTTTCTTCTGCAGAAGGGCTCCAGTGAACCGGAGGAGGCTTTCCGTTTGTGGCTGCAGAGGAAACAGGAGCAGCAGCAGCGAGAGAAGCAGCTCGTGCAGCTGAAGAGGTTGGAGGAGGATGGCGGTTATCTCCTCCGAAGCCGAGAGGAGTGTGAACGTGCCTTCAAGCTGTGAGATCATCGTCGTCTGTGGCTGCCTTTTTTTTTTTTTCTAAACACACACGCGTTTAGTTTGACCCGCGCGTCCTCCCTCAGATGGCTGACCCGAAAGCGGGCGGAAAAGAGGGCGGAGGAACGGGCGGCTCGGGAGCAGTCACGTAGGTTTGTGCTCGAGGAGCGGCGGGCGCGACGCATGCGTGATCTGCTGTGCACGGCCAGCGACACCAGGACGTTCAGGTTTACCGATCAGCTCACTTGTCACTTCTGAAGCGGGTCGACCAACGCCCTTCACTTTCATTTTCCAGGTTTGGAACGGTCTGCAATAAGCAACGTACCCCCCCCCCCCCCCCCCCATTGTTTATATTATCGGGGTTTTCATAGAAATACTCAGTGTAATTTAGACTTTAGCACAGACCATCTATTTGCGCATTTATTAAATATCTATTGGCTGAAATCTGTGCCACCAGAAAATTAATCTGAATAATTCATATTTAAATTTGTATTTTGAATTAATACGTTGAAAAGCTGCATCTGAATTTGAATTCATTAGTTTGGAACTGGTGGTGCAGCTTAGACCGGTTAGCTTGTCCACGTCACAGTGCAGAGGTCCAGGATTTTGGCTCCTTCTTGTGTGGAGTTTGGATGAATAAATGCTCAAATGGCTGTCTTAACGCTGTTCCGTAATTATTCAATATCCTTAGTAAGGAGGATGCTAGTGCATGACACGTGTTTATGACTCTGGCCTAATAGTGCATCTCGTGATCTCGTGCAGCACAGGAGGTTTGAAAATCACCAATAAGACAGTCATTCTATACTCGGATGCAGAATTGTCTTATTGATGAGTAGAAGTGTAGTTTCACACTTGTAGTACTGCAGCAGCCAGGACCATCTGTATTTTGATAATTCAGTATTATGAAATATTTTTTGTACTTTAGTTGCTGAGATGTTCTCAAGAAAGGTGACCTGGCTTGTTATGGAAAATTGAATTTGTATTTTATGATTTGATAAAGTGTTTTCCTCTCTCTCTCTCTCTCTCTCTGTGTCTGTAAATCTTCATTTTTTTGTTGTTATTATTCTTTGTTATATTTTAAATTAGTTCAGGTTTTGCTTCACTGTTTTCTTAAAGCACATCCACCACAGTGACCACTCAGCATTCCATGTGTACATTATTGTGAGAATTTCAATTGGGACAAAAACAGCAATGTTATGTATCTTAAAGAGCGAACTTGTGTTGACACACGACATTTACAGATGCAACAATGACTATTGTATGTGAATCTGTAGGAGCAATTTGTAGATGTGTTCAAGCACAATTATGTGAGTCTGCATGTGAGAGTAAGCAAAAAAAAAAAAAGACATACCGACACTAAACGTCTATAATTTATTAGGGCCTGTAAACATACAAGTTTGTGCATTTCATCATTAAATATCAGTGAAACCCAAAGTGTAGAACCTCACCCAATCGGATTAAAGCTCTTTGAATCTCTGCAGAACAACAAACAATACATATTTCCCCCCCATTGAATTTACAGTGCATGACTCTGTCTTATCACCTGTATATCAACACAAATCTCAAATATATTCCTTGAAACAGGAAAGATTGATCTTTTACGATAAAAAGCTTCCCATATGAAACGCAGACAGCCGTGACAGCAGCTGTCTACGCATTAAAACATAAATAAAAACACAACATAAAATACAGACACATTTTCCCCAAACTTGACAGAGAGAAGTACCGAGTGCATGATTATTATAAATACATATAATATTCAGAACACATCTCTTTAAAATAGTGCCAGTTAAAAAAAAAAAAAAAAAAATCTAAAGGAGAAAACAGTGCACTGTCTACTTTGAGGACAACAATTACTGGCATGGAAGTAATAAAAACAAAACAACTGATTTGGACCTGGAAAGTACCTGCTTGTCAAGTATTACTGACCATTGATGTCACGATGTACTGTACTCATTGTGTGTATCCACATTACAAACCAATATGTTGAACTCAAAACAGCCGAAAGCAGGAACAAAAATCTCCCATCTGACACTTTCACAGATCAGTGAGTCATAAAAAGAACACAAAAAAACAGCAAGAGCACGCTCCAGCAGACCCTCAAAAAACATCCCCCCCACCCCCACAAACACACACATAATCCCATTATCAACGACCCTGCAATTGAAATACAAGTAGAAAAATAGATCTGTTTCTGATTCAAAGGTAAGCTCCCCAATAAATAAATGTCATCAACAATCAGATGAGGTGTAGGGGTACGTCTACAGTTCATCTTTGGGGTTGATGTCAAGACCATCACCCATAGACTTGCTGACCCAGTTTTGGACCACCTCGTCTGCCTTCAGTCTGTCCTGCACAAATAATCGGCGCACAATCATTGCCTGTCTCTGCTTAGGAAGCAAGGAAAGAAAAACTGCTTTCTCTTTGGATATGTCTAATTCCTGATGAACCTTTTGGGGAAAAGTTGCTATCACGTATACATACAAAGAAAGGACCTTAAAAAATAAAAAGGGCGTACCATTTCCTTGAAGAGCGGGTCAAAGGTGAACCAAAGAGCCAAAGCACACCTCTGCCCATCCGTGACGGCTTTCACACCGTGCGGATTCTCCCTGCCGGAGGTGAACGCCACCATCCTGCCACACTTGGGTTTCACCGTTGCCTGGAGAGGAGGCGGACTAAATCAATGCCCAACCACTTCAAATTACATGCTTACATCGCTTCAAAAAAAAAAAAAGAAAAAGAAAAACAACCACACACACACACACACACACACACACACACACACACACACACACACACACATAAAAGAAGGAGTTGCTTGATCAGGTACTGCTGAACTTCGTTCTCAAGGACTGCAAGCCCCTCAGCATTGCGGAACTGATTCAGGTCCTCATGTGTTTTGCCAACAGGAAAGGTTTGTGTGGAAGTTACAGAAAGTAGTAGTTGACATATATTGGCCGTAAAATACACATAAATAGACGATTTACTAATTGGGTGACTTCCTAATGAAAGTGATGGCAGTGGATTGTTTTTAGAGGTGTCAATGGACAGGGGATTAAATACAAACGTACAATACACTTTTGACACTTGAATATATTTGAAAGCTGTATCATTTTGTGTTGGTGTAAAACAACTTTTTTTGACAAAGTACCACCTAAAAAAAATACTTGCTTCTCCAAAAAAAAAAAAAAAAAAAAAAAAACACACACACACACACACACACACACACACACACACACACACACACACACACACACATAAAAGATAACTTACAAACGTTTATGGGGACAATTAATTTACATTGTGAAATAAAATACTGGAAATGAATATGCTGCACATTAGTAATGCAAAAAATGTAGTAATAATTGATATAAAGAATTATAGTGTCAATCACATCACAACGTGTATTATGATGAAATGATTAAAACACATTTTTAATAAATATATTGTAAAACTATTGGGGGAATGTAACAATAATTTAATGGTTCTGTATTTGTCGCTGAGCGCTCTTAAACACAGACTCCTCATTCAAGCTATGGAGGATGAGGCATCATGAGCAACTGGTTGGGTTCAGTATCTTGCTCAAGGACACTTCGACAGTCATAAGCGCCGGAGATTGAACTCACAACCTCTGGGCTGCAAGACGACCACTCGAAACATGCCACAAGGCATTTTTAAGATCTCCAAACACACTTAGAAGTGGTCTTTTCATCCAGATGATACTCTGGCAAACGCAAAGCAACTTACTGTGACGGTTTTGGCGTCCAATTGCGTAAAGAAGATCTCGCCACCTTCAAAGTCCCCATTGAGGTATAGTAGTGCACTGGAAAGAATAGGTAGACGCCACCAGAGGCGAGTGAACATGTGGGACGCCGTATTGCATTCCACTGTGTGGATCGACTACCGGTACTTTGATCATCACTCACTCAAACACAGGCGCATTTTGTACAAACGCGGGCATATTATTTTAGTGCAGCTGTCGAGGTACTTTATGCGGATAATATTCGGGGTCCGAATTTTGGTACGGTGACAACGCTAACCTGTAGTCCCGATGGGTGTACGCAGGAGCCTGCCTCCAGCATTCATTGGCCTCGGGGTCCAGCAGACAGTTGTCACCGTGGATGGGATGGCTCAGGTCATTCCTGTGATCCTGCTGACCTGTCAACATCCGAGACAAAAACACGAATAGCGTTTCCATGAGTTTAAAAATGGCCATGGCTAAATGTGTTTCCAACAAGCTCTTTTTACGGCAATGCTGTATTGTAGAAACAGACTGATTGCAAGTTGCCCACACCCCCTGCCCTCCGTTTTTCTCTTTTTAAAAATTAAAACTGGTTGGTGAATTTATACTAGCCTTTGGTTACGTTGGAATCATTTCTTGAACGTTTACTTTTGTTCTTTAGATCAAAAGTAGAGTGCTGATATTTTACTCTTAACCTCTCAATTACAGATTCATGCCACATGTATATTCACACACATGGGCAATTTAGAGTCTTCAATTAACCGACATAATGAAAACCCATGCAAGCGCAAGAGGAAAACGCAACCCTCACACCGGTAGGCCGGAGCCGAAATTCAAAACCAGAACTGTGCAGCAGATGTGCAACGGGCTATGTGTGGAAACCTCGTGCTCAGGCTATTTCATCCCACTTTTAAAACCCTTTGTCATAGAAATACCAGTTTCGGTGTTTCCATCTGCCATGTAAAAAAAAAAAAAAAAAAAAAAAAAAAAAAAAAAAAAAACTCAATCTCATTTTCATAGCGGGAATACCGTATTGGCCCGAATATAAGACGGTGTTTTTTGCATTGAAATAAGACTGAAAAAGTGGGGGTCGTCTTATATTCGGGGTCTAGACATTATACCCATTCACGACGCTAGATGGCGCCAGATATAATTGAAGCGAATGCTGAACTTGACTCCCCAGGCCAAAGTGAACCCCTGTCACGAAGAGTAAAAATAAAAATAGCGTAAGAAAGAAAAGAGAGGAAAATAATAGTTTACATATTTAAATGTTCAGGTATTAAGATTTGAATGAGGCAAAATAACATGCTTTTTCTCTCAAATATATTGTTATAATCATTTGTTTCAGATGTATTGTAATTATTTTCTGTATTCAAATTAATTTGGTGTTCAAAAAGTCTTTTTTCAAACTTGAGTCTTGCAAAAGAGGGGGTCGTCTTATAAACAGGGCCGTCTTATATTCGGGCCAATATGGTATTTCTTTAAATTTTCTTCATAGTTTTATAACTACTGTAGCGCTTAAAAACCATCCTGTTTTTTGTCATAGTAATTACATGAAAATGTCTTCACATTAAATGTTCAGGAGTGTTAAAAACCATATAATAATGTAAAGGTAATGTTCAGTTTTTAGAAATATTTGAATTTTTTTTTTTTTGAGATTTGGTGCACCACTAAAAGCTTCACTTAAAAATAAATATATTGTGAAGTTAATAGCCTGTGTCAACCAGTGATCATCTTTGTAAAGGCATGCTGGTCTGGTGAGTGGACAGGAATGCACTTATTCCAATACCCCGTAGGTTCAAACGCATCACAAAACAACTAACCTGTGATGGCCGAGCGGCACACCAGGTGAGTGTAGGAAAAATGCAGAGTGGTGTTGACCATGAAGTGGGACAGAATGATGTTTCTCACTCGTGTGCTGGCGTCATAGAAGAGGTGGGCACTTTTCATGGGCACCCTGCCCTCGTACCCGTACTATAGAGGAAGACATGTTCGTGAGCACTGTGTGCTGAAGTCCGAATGGAAAATGAAAAATGTGTTTCAGTCGTTCTGCACGGTTGGGTACCTCCAGGGCTTTGAGCACGGTGGCCCCTGCAAACTTTTCGTTGGGGGTGTGAGGAGATGACCTGCCGTTGTATCCGTCTCCTGCCATCGTGATCGTCTGTTTTTAACAGAGAGCAGAGTTTAAAAAAAAAAAAAAAAAAAAATTCACCATTCAACCATTTTCGATTGTG